ATTTGTGGCTATCAACATTTCAATAGAACATGAAATCAACCATCAAATTTATCAAGTAATTCTCATATTCCACTAGAAGTAGTCATGAAATTTCATGTACTTCCAACAAACAGTAGGCATCCTTACACATCCTTTAGAACCATTAAAGAATAATAGGTTGGTCTCCAAACACAAATATGGATATGCTTTACTTGCACTTCGAAATCCATAAACCAACATAATGGCAAATGTATCGTGCAACAAATGATGCCCTACAGAAACATGCGGGCTATCCAAGTGGGTTCGTGTTTTATCCAAGCAAATGTGACAGCCCATATATTGGAATTAATCACCGAATAACAACCATGATCAAGTAGATCTTTAGCCACCACAATTGGTTTAAATTGCATTCTTTAAAAATGTCATGCATAAGAGTCATTCCCAATTGTCACAGCAAAGTGAGAATAATCAATTAATCAAAATTGATTTCCACAATATTCTTTATACAAGAATGTCATTTAGAGCATATTATAAATTTTGTCATGCTAATATACACACACTATTTGTGCTCTAAAATATTTCCATTTCTCAATAGATACGGAAGCATCTTCTACTTTAAAATAAATTAAGACAAAACACAATTTATCTTGCTTTTATGCAAATATAATTGACATATAATCATCTCACTTAATTCTATAGGATTAAATGAGGCTATCCACATTAACTCAAGTTAGCATGAGTTCAACAAGACATGAAATCAATCAAACAAATTTATCATGTCAATTTAATTTTCTAGTAGAGAAATGGTCACAAAAGTTCACATAAAATTCTAACACTTTAGAATTTTCTTTCCCATATGTAACATATGCAATGTTTTGAATTTCATTTCAATAATATATCATGCATATCAAACTTCAACAACTTAACCATATGGGTGTGCATCCTCACGTGAACATGTATGAATAATTTATTTCAAATATTCTTCAACCAACATGCAATTTTCTTCATGCATATGCACTTTGTATAAAATAAACATATGCATACTCCAATTGGTAAATATATCAAAAGGTACAACAATGAACCAGTATGTTTAAAGTCACAAAGCTTTAAACCATTAAAGGATCACACGGTTTAATTGTTTACCGTTAATAATTTGGTTTTAAATACACATGCACCTTTTCAATATGTAAACACCTATTCACATACACAATAGTTTTAGCATGAAGGAACATACATACTCATGTTTGTTCACAGAATCAGTTGAAGACAGTTAACCACATGTCATTTCATACACCAAAACAAATAAATTTATGCTACACAACTCCGAACGGATCACACCATTTCAAAAATGAACAATTTTTTTTAATGTGGAAAGAGGAGTATAATTATGTAATAGATAAGACTCCAATCAGGAATGGTTGGACAAGACAATCAGATTCCTTCTCAATCAAAAATTTAATTTTCAACATGGATTCCAGGATAAGGAAACTATGTGATTGTCTTACTTTTAAAAACTACTGACTGCCATGCATATATAATACTCTTTTATCGTATACAAATATATGGATGACATAGTCACACACCACCTTTTCCTCCTCATTTCAGACATAATTATTTTAATATATAAAATATTCAAGCCATATAGAACAGATCTTGTCGAATTCAAATACACATGCGGGCATGCCACTAGCGATTATAGATATATAATCCGACTTCGTTATTACTGAAACCGTATTCATCACTTAAGGAATTCAAAAGTGTATCGTTCCCAATTAACCAAAAAGGAAAACAGAATTCTACAACCATGATTCTTATTTCAGAATTCAATCACTTAATGTCACAACTTCTACATCTAATTTCGGACAGAAATTATGCATACACATACCAATTATTGGAATATAATATGCAGTTGAAACATATGCACGTGATTTCTGCCTATTCATATTTCCACTTTCACAATTGTTGTTACGAACACATGCAATTATTTATGCACAATCAAAATTCTCCTTAAAATCATTGGATATGACATGGATAATTGTGCATATAAAATTCACAAAACATACCTTTTAATGTGAGATGATCGAACATAAAGTGGAATTTGAGAACATAGAATGATACTTACCAAATCTGAATGCATTACGACGAATTTCATCTTTTCATTTTCCAATGAAAATATTTCTTTTCAAACCTTTTCAAATTTTCTTGCCAAGCAAGTGTAATTCCGGTTGCATTGCCAAATCCGGATTTAAAATGTGGAGAATCTTCAACGTCTTTAGAATAAACTTCAATTCATACTTGCCTTCATATGAATTTCGCCCCATCAATTGTTTCAACCACGATATCATGTCATCAACTTGATCTCTGTCAAAGTGATTCCATTCTCCATCGCAATATCGTTTGAGATTGTTGGGAAATTACTCACCATCGGGGTTGGAGAAGAAACAATGTAGAAAATTAATTAAGAGGATGAAAAAACAAATCAAGATCATGACGAAAATGGAAGGCTCAAACACGACGTTACATTGTTGTCCTCAAACGATATTTGCTCCCTCTTGGTATTAATGTTGGTGCTTAAAGGATCTTGCGGCAAATGATTTGAAGGATTGATCAAGTCTTGATATAGAGAAACACAAAAGCACAAGCATCTCTCCACCCGAACTTGAAAAACATATAGGGAATATATGAATGTGGAGGAAGAAATGATTTTTCTTTCTTGTGGAATGATGATAGATTACCATATGTTTCGTAATCTGATTTCCATGTGTTTTTTTATATCCAACAAACACATATTTATAGCCATGAATCATAGCTTCATGAAATGGTGCCAAAACAAGATGAAAAATGGCAACTTTTAATCCAAAATGGCTTCCAAGTTTCAAATTGAAAAATCAGCCAACGGTTATTTTTTAACACTAAACGTACGCATAGTATAAATCGTGCGTACGCATAGTAGAAGTAAAATCAATTCTAATTTTGAAAAAGCACATCTCACGTACGCACAAAAATAAGCCTGTGCGTACGCATAGGCAAAAATAAAATTTTTCATTTTTTAATTTCTTTTGATTTTACCAATTCCACAATTGAGTTAAACAATTAATCCATTATCATTCCATTGATTTTGAACAAATATTCAATAGTTTTCTTATACGTTTAGGTGCAGGTTCCTTCATTTCAACAACTACTGCATCAGATGTCAAAAAGGTCTTGGCAACAGATATCGCATGCTCCAAGCAACATCTAATAACCTGCTTCAAGATTGAATGTTAGCCACGTGGCCTTGGAATACAGTGAAAGTTTTACATTTTAGCACAATTATATAGTCGATTCTTGAATTTACCTTCGAAGGATCCAGTATTCCAGCACCCATCAAATCCTCATATCTATTTTTTGCAGCATTGTATCCATACCTTATGTCGTCTGATGACAGAACCTGCAAGTAGAAGTTTCCAAGAGTTTAACTTATAAAGTTTGATTACTAACTCAGTGAAGTCAACAATATCAGTTCAAAAATACTGAATATTCATTTTTCTCTACATGAAATAATGAAAAAACAAAACATTGATGCAAAGATACCTCCTGTATGACAGTGTTTCCATTTACACCAGCATTTTTGGCTATCTGTTGTGCAGGATAGGCCAAGGCTCTTTTTAAAATGTCTGCTCCTATCTGTATGCACATTTAGAAAGCCATAAAGCCATAAAATTATAACTCCAAATATAATTAAATGTAATTCGAGAATGCCAAATGAAAAAGCCAGCAATCAAAGCCACTCCACTCCCTTTATTACCTTTCCATCTCCACCAACGACGACGCTAGTACTGAAGTAGTCCGTCATCGCGGCTGCTGGTCCAAAAGTAAATCAAAGCTACCGATTATCATTACACAAGACTCTGAGACATTAATGAACCCTTTGATTTCGAAATTTTTTATAACACTGAGTTTAGAGATTTTGAGCGTATTAATTATGATGTAAGAATTTTTAATTAGTTTTAGGGTATTATTCTAAAGGAAAATTACATGTCAACAGGTGTGTAAAAATTACATTTCATAAATCAAGTATGAAGTTTATTTGTTCAAATATCATGTATTAATTTAATTATTTATATTAATAATAATATTAATATAATCTACCCACTCCCAACCGCCCTATCCCCATCCCCAAACCCTAATATTTCCTCTCTCTTTCTCTTCTTGAAGTTCAGCAATCAAGTGTAAATCATCATAATGCCCAAATTTTGCTCCAACCATATGAAACAACAATAAGCATGCATGGTAAATTACTCTAGGTGCAAAGTCAGTGGTGCTAGTGACATGAAACTTGTTGAAGTTCAGTGATCAAGTGTAAAACATCGTGTGTCAAATTCTATGCCAATCTTATAAATGCTACATAAATATATATTTGAATAACAATATATAAATAAATGTAATAAATGAAGTAAAAGCAATTTTATTCAATATAAGAATATTGTAATTTTTACGTCTACAAAATTATACTATATGGACACACAACCCAACAGTATTTTATAGCCTAAAGACAAATATATTAACATTGTAATTAACCCAATATTACGATAAATAATGCCAGTGTCAATCCCCTTAAAATTGACTAAGGAATGTAAATCAAGTCAAAACCATGCGTACTTCACATTTTTCAGACTGCTAATTGTGTCCCGGCCATTAGCCTACCATCTATGTTTGATGAACATAAAAGAGGTTCCAAACACGAACTGTGCGTTAACAGTTTGACGTAAATTTTTTAAAATGAATTCGTAAAAAAGTTATTTTTATTTTTAAGAATGTGTGGTTAAAATATAGGAAAAATTATGAGTCCACATGTAAAATTATTTTACTAAGAGGATGTGCAATTAAAAATGAGTATAAAGAAAATTATTTTAAAAAATGTGTAACAAATAGTGGCTTAATTTGTCACAAAGCTCATATTTTGTTTTGTTAAAAACCATATTTTTAGTAGATTTTAAAATAGTTTATAAAATGTTTGATTGAAAAGTTCATAAAGTCGTGTATCTCATAAAATTTTCGATTAAAAATAATTGTTAACTTTGATTTGAATTTTTACGAATTTTTAGCTAAACCAAACAGGATCAAATAGCATTACTCTATTACTAGGTTTTATTTTCAAGA